TAATTTTTTAGAGATGTGCAAATAGTACCTTTCGGTCCGCAATCGTCTTGTTAAATACCTAAAGGAGGAACTTCCACGTCTGGCCTTCAGGAGTTTAACAACAAACATCTTGTTCTAGAGTGTCTATGACTTCAATGACCTTAAGCCTTAGAGTACTGCAATTACAACTATTACAAATTAATTAATAATTTACGGAATTGAGAATATTTTAATGAAAATTGAATTAATCGATTGAAAAGTAATGGTATAGAACAATTATTGCATGAATAATTTTTCAATAGTTTCCGTAGATGTAAACTTTAAAATTCTATGTATCTTTAAAGCTGTCTTCGATGAAAATTCGTCATATTGTTATGATTATTTTATTAATAAAAAACTTGTAAACGATCCAGTCAAAGGTTTTTTAAATTCATTAGTAATGTATATTTTACAGAAACATATTAAATGTAACCTAAAATTAATATATTAGTAAATATATTTACTAATTCATTTGACTTTTAATTAAAAATATTATTAGCGATTGAATTGAATCTGTAGAAAGTGTATACCTTTTTATTGTAATGTAATAAAAATTCAATGAAATCCATTACATTAATTAGTAATTGATTTAGTTAATTTGAATAAAGATAAATTGAATATTTCATGAAAATATGTATGTATGTTACTTTGCTTTTATCCATTTGCGTTAATTTATTTTTTTTTCCTATCAATTTGAACGTAATTAAATAAATATTTATTGCATTATATAAATGGTCTCATGAGTATAATATTTTCAAAATTCACTACAAATTCTCCGAATTTTTCCCTTGATAATTATTTCGATTATTTATGGACACTTTTATATGATCCCAAATTGAAAAAAAAATTGTCAATAAATCCGATCGAAGTACTTTTATCATTATTATTAGTAAAATAAATTTTTACTCTGGACAAAAGTCTTTATGGAAGCTACTCAGCATAAAAATATAAATAAAAATATTTTCCTATCTATTATTAATATTGACGCGAATCGCAAAAGGTTAAGATCAATTCACTAAAAGCAAATAACTTGCAAAAATGCAATTATATGATATTTGAATACTACATAAAGTAAATATTTTTTTATTACTGTAAATAGCTATTGAAACTTCTTATTCAAAGTTTGAAAGAGGATCAACAAAGTCGAGCACTGTGGAAGAAGTTAAGAAATTAGAAAATAAGTTTGCTGGCGACCCTCTAAAAACGGAGCTTCAAAATAAGACTTAAGAAAAGTAGTGTCGGTAGAAATGGTGCCACAGAATTGACTTTTTCAACCAAGTTGCACGTTAATGTCGAAAAATGAGAAAGCAAATAAGATTTAAAAAGAGACTTCGTTTTGTTGTTATGAACACTCAAGAATAGCACTTAAAAACCATGAGAAAAAAGTAAATGAATGAAAAAAGCAAAAAAAATTATTAACTTTAACGAAAAGTTCTTTTGTTCCTTTCAAACATGAATGTTCTTATTAATCTATTTTTTTTTTAAACGAATTTTTTCCTCGTTAGCTATGAAGTAAATTTTTCACCGGTTGTAAGTATCAAAGAGTGTAGAATTCAGTATGTAATAGAATGGAATTTGTTTTATTTTCTATCCAAACTTGAAATGTTAACGTAAAATTAGAAAATTAAATAAAATGTCAGTTCGATTGAATTTAATTCAATCTAAACTAGAATTGAAAAAGGATTTAATGAAATTAATCAATGAAGTCGACACCCATCCGATTTATTTCATTGTTAGAAAGGTTTAACGAATGATCCGTGAAAATCCCAAATTCTTGTTAGCACTAATTAATCCACAAAAAAAAAAAAAACGAATAAATTATTAAAATACGAATAAAAACAGACGATCTTGATTTCAATAGTAGAAGAAGTTCACGGTGAAAGGCCGTAGTTGCTCAGTGAAAAAGTAAGTACGATTTAATACCAAATACTTTTATTGAGCATAGGTATCTAAGAAGATCTGAACAAGTGTAATAAAAGGTAAAAAATTAGTAAAATAAACTGAAGGATGTGTCTATTAAAAAAACAATTAATGTTTATTAACTAGTTATATCTATGTCGATGTAACATTTTTTAGTGACAGATACAATTTGTGATAGCGTAAAAAGGAGGAACACAAGCCAAGCACACAGTTTGTAATAATAGAGAATGTGATATAGAGAATTTTTCATTCGTCAGTTTTTGTGACCTTTACTCAGAAATTAGCACGCCAACCCTTTACCCCTATAACCTGTACGAGCATATCCCTCGAATTGGATTGATTGCGAGATTTTTTCATTCCTAGTTCACCTGTTCTTTCGTTGTTCTTCATGCTTGTTTGTCTTTTTGTGCTCACATAAAAAATAGAGAATGCGATCGTGCAATTTTAGTGGATTTTCGATTAAAAACAAAAAAAAAAGGAATCGTTAGGATCGCGAGCAATTAAGGGTTTAAGCCAAGGAGTATGGAGTTGGCTGATAATCAACACGATGTTAACAAGAAGCTGAAGTAGACAAGAGTAACTAACGAATCCTACGCTTGATCAAGACGGGAAATGAAGGGAATAAAACCTCAAAAAAAAATTTAAATTAGAAAAAGAATTGAAAAACGAAAGGATGAAGAATAAAAAAAAACCTTTACTTAGTTTATTCATTTCAATGCAGCTTTTCAATTGATATTCTTGATTTCTTCTGTCTAATTTTACGCTGTCCTAAATCACTCTATCATCAAATATAAATCCTTAGATGTAAGAGAAGTATGAAATGTTAATTATAAAATATAATTGAATAAAAGGATGAATTTGTTATTCAATGGTTTGTTGTAAACCAAAAGAAATAGAATGAATACTTTAATTAGGAATGCAATATTATATAAAACAGCTAAAATTAGCAGAAACACACAAGAGTGCGCCACAACTCGGGATACATTTTAATGCAGGGAACTGTTGAATCGATGTAACTCGATGTTTACTGAGTTACTCTATTGGTAACAACAAGCAAGCGCGAAAAAGTTTCAAAACTATTGCTTCATCATTGGTTTCGGGTGATTAATCTTTTGAAACACCATCTTCAAAAGTAGTTGATAATAAAAATTAACTGATTGGCGACGTCACTAATGAATCAAATTATTTTTCACAGAAGTTTGAAGTAAGTGAAAAAAGAAAAGAAAATAGACAAATTAGTTAATGAAATGCACGAAAGTTTGCTGACGAAATTATTTAAATTTATTTAAGTGAAAAAATTGGATAAATTAATTCCATGAGACAATTTTTAGTTAGTTGAAAAATTTCCCATCTAAAGTTGAAATTAAGTGAAGAACAAAATTGATCTAACAACAGTCAAATATCCAGAACTGCTAAAAGTCTTGGATTTCACGTGTGGACCTTTTTGATTATTTATGATTATTTATGACATGAACAGACCAACCGATCAATAGTAAAGTCCCCAAGTAACCAGAAAGGTCTCACTCGTTCCTCTTTTCTTTTGTCCTAACAGAAATTTTCTATCGAGCGTTCCAACAAGTTTCAACTTTTTTTATGAGCTTTCATGAATCAGCTCACGAACTGTTTAAGTTACTTTTATTCTGCAGTATAATTTATTGAGTTTATTCATATTAACATAATTTAAATTATTTTCAATCTTTACTTTTAAGATTTAGAGCAAATGAATGCGCTTCGGCATTGTAATTTTAAAAATGTATTAAAGATTCCAAACTACTCTTTCATTTTCATCATCATAAACTAATAAAAGACAGGTAGTTTACGAAAAGTTAAATCACAAACTTTTAATAGCAATTCAAGATGTTCTCTGTTAATGATATATTCATATCCTAATTTACTTGGCGATAACTGACGAGTATTAATAAAATTTTCATCAGTAACTACGTGTAATATATATTTTTTCCAAATATCTATCTTCCTAAAGCATAGTAAAATTGTACTGATGATGCAAATTTTATCGCAATTGTAGAGAAAACATAAGAAATAATTAATTGACCCGATCTTTCAACATCAAAAGCATTTGTTTCAATATATGATGAAAAAAGAGCGTGGAAATGTCTCTTTATCATTATTCTAGTAACAAAGAATTATTTTTAGCTTCGACTTTCAGCGTGCAGCTTATATTAATCTGCTTTTGAATAAAAAGCTCCTATGTTATTATTATCATTTTCATTGATGTTGGGTATTTAAATGTTAAATGTATTTATCCAAAAGAAATTTTCTCTTTGATAGATTATAATCCATAAAATTCTAGTACAATATAATTGAATTGTTTTATGATAAATACTCATTATTCATATTTAAATCCGTTCTTTAATATATGAACCATTACAAGCTCATAAATTAATTCAAAAAAGTACGATTTAATACTGAATTAAAAGCAGTAATTAATCGTTTTTAGAAAGAGTACGATTCGATTGTTGTAATATTCATTTTTAGGATGATAATTAAGTATAATCTATTTATAACAAAGATTAGAATAAGCGAATTACTGCAAAGGTTTAAGCAGAAGTACAATAAATGTATAATATTGCTGTAAAATAAGTTTAATTGGCTTAAAGTGTGACCCTGAGAATAAATTGAAACTTCAGCAGGCTTAGAGTGAGTAGGAGCTACAAAAAGAAAGATGGCAAAAGACAATAACCGGGGTGGGACATCCGTTGGCGGCTCCTTAAAATGGTTCCTCGGCGAGCATCGCCCCTGATACTTACTCATATGCATATATTCACCTACGCGTCTCGCGTGCCAAGTATCCATCGTCTGTTGTGTCCGTTGGACACGAAACTTGATAAAAATTTCACTTCAGGTCAATCATTTATTTTTAATACGTTCAATAACATTGCATTAAATTTTGAAAATGAAATGGCAAAGGGAAATGTTCGCGTGTTTCTCGGCAGTCTTGGCAAACTACCAACAATGTCAATGGCATTTACAAGAGGCATTCTGAAAACCTGAAGCTCATGCCAGAAACCCAAGCAGGCGTGGAAACAAATAAAACCACTTACCTCCAGGTGAGATTCTTATATGGCCAAGGTTGTCCGTGAATTGTAAACCTCTTATGTCTTGATCTTTTATAGCGTGGGTCGGGTTTGTCAGACAGACCACAGCGCCGGGCCTTCATCAGCTTTTGCGTAGCCTCATCAATCTCTCCTGTGACTGGTATACCACCATAACTCTGAAATTTATAAAAGATTAGTAAGATAAAATGAAATTAATTTATTACACTTGTAATGAATTTTTAATAATTAATTATTTATTTTAATAGTTCATCCACCGTGCTACTTTGTAAGGATTGAAAAAATTAAAATCAAGCAAAAAAATAATTTTAAAATGCCCTTATCAAAGTGAAATATTTTTTTCAATCAATAAATTCAAAATTTTTTGATGGTTACTTCAAATAATAAAAAAATTATTTATTGAAAAAATACAATTCATTGATTATCCATTTTCATTGTATTTAATAATTTTGAATAAAACTATCTGAGTTTTGGTTTATCCTATGTTTCATTGAATTAATCTTTTCTTTCTAAAACTCATAGTGTCTTAGAAAGTAAGAATTTTCTCAGAATTAATCTAATATCACTTGTATTTTATTACGAATATTTCAAATTCTTTTATTGATTAAATTAACATTTCGTTTGTATAGCAGAAATTTTGTTTTCGGTATACATTGAAAATTTTTTACTCAATTCACGAATTTTATCTATCGGAATATTTCTAGAGAATGAAACGATCATTTATATACAAAAATATAAAATCATGTCATTATTTTTTAAAAAATATTCTATACTGATTTATACATTAACATATTTTTCCAGAGTACAACCTTTCACTAAATTGTTTAAAAAAACATAAAAATATTAATTTTATTGGAAAAGAATGTAAAATAACTTTTTAATATTCTTCGAATTCTTTCCAGATTAACGAACTTATTTAACATGTGTGTGCCAAAATTCAATTTAAACGGTTCAAAAATTTTTGAACCACCATTTGTGCCATAGACGAGAGCACGAATGAATGCATAAAAAGAGGAAAACGTTTTACCAACAGCTTTTCAACTTAGCCTTTGAAACTCATATGAAGATATTGAAATTATTACAAGTGCCATCAGCAGCTCCATTTACAGAAAATAAATAATCGTAAAATTATTTTTTTGATACTATCTCGATATATGTATACAAATATGAATATGTGTATTGCTAGAATCTACATTTATATCAATAATCTTTTCTTCATTTCCATAATTCATAAGTTTGAGTAATTAAACATCATATAATTGAATGAGATACCAAAATAATTATAATTCCACGCGAATTCATTTCAATTATACTAATTGGCACTTTAAACTCAAGTTCCAATAAATTATAAGATATCAATCTTCAGAGTTATCAGTCAGACAAAACATGCAGAGTAAAAAACGTCATGCTCCAATATTATTTAAATTTCTTCTATTCATCTCTTCCACTTATTGAAGAATATATATAATAATACTGACATCTATCACAATATTTCTATACAATTTATAACAATGAAATATTTTCTTTCTAATAATCTAATTTTTTTTCGTCTGGATATCATATTTTTGTACTGAGAAATAGTTTTAACTGCGAATGCTAATAGGCATTTTATTCAGATCAACTTGATATTTTTTTAAATATCTACTTTGTATTTCTTCGTGTATGTAAAATAAACAATAAAGCTCATTCATATTCTAACATAACACACACACCTAATGCTACACTAGAAGCTAGATCTTTCACTGATATGATCGTTATTTCCATTCTGAATAGAAAAGAGATTGACTAGAAGTATGTGTATTAGGTATTTTTACTCTATTCAGTTTTTCTAGATTTCTCCTGTTTTCCTCATGTTGTATTCTTTCTTTTTCTTACCAATCTCCCTTCAACTCATAGCCCTTTTTATCATTCACTGGCATGTTTCCTTCGTTGCTGACGAGCTCGATTTTCATGCAAATCTCATCGTCTCGAGAGACCCTGGAGAGCATGAGATCGCTTCTCAATAGAACATTTACACTCGACTCATGAACTAGTGATATCACTCGACCTATTCCATCATCAACGATCGGAATATCTGATACTATACTATGAAATGTTCCTCATATCTTAATTATCAATCCGAACATTTACTTACCATAATTTCTGGGTATTCGTTTATGTTTTTTATAAAGTTTTTTTTTATTTTTATTGTTTTCATCAGTAAGTTAAGAGAATTCATATAAAATATATAAATGGTTTACCTGAAGATTTCTTATAGCTTCTCGTAGCTGATCATCAGTTCTAAGGTTTCCCGTTTCTGAATCAGTTTCTGGTAGATATCCAAACCTCATTAGATAATTTTGCTGGAAAAGAAAAAAATGCATCATGTAAAAAAATATTAATATAATTAGTTTCTTTACAAGATACAACTTTAAGATTAAACATATTTTATTTCAGTTTGAATTTAAAGGTTCTAGCTCACCTAGAAATATTTAAAACTTAGGATGGTCTGCAATAGCATCCACAGACAGCAAAGTGATTCTATAACGGCTTCATTTTTCCATTTTAAGATATAGAGTTACAAAAAATAATTATTTTTCAAATTCATTTTGAAGATTTAAATACATTATTTTCTATTTTTTATATTTTCATCTAAGGAAAAAAAAAATAATGGATTGGTTTTTTTAGTTGAAAATGTAAAAATCAATGTATGATTAAAAATAGCAGTATTTATAAAAAAAACCAGTATAGTACTTTCATCGTAGAAGAAGTGAAAATATGTGAAAAAAAATTGAGTGACTGAATACACATCAACAGCTAAAAATGAAACACTATCGTATATTAATGTCAGTTGATGAAAAACTAATAGGTGTGTACAATATTTGAAGTAAAGTGATGAAAAGTAATAGTGAAAAAATGAACCAAATAAAGCAAAAAATATAGAACAGAAAACAAAGAAATATGAGGGTCAAAGTAGTTAAAATCTACGAAGTAGAATCGAGAAGAGTAATAATTCTTACAAGAACTAAAACAGTAAGCGGAAGAAATACAGCAAAAAGAACCGGGAGAACACAACGAATTGACGATGAAAATGTGGAAAAGTTTAGAGTTGGTTGGAAAGCTTCTATGAGTTTTGGACTTAGACCTTCGATTATGGACTCTATAACTCAGTTTACTTAGACGTAAGTTGGATTAGAATTGATGAACTATACTAAACTTTCACTGTAATGGAAAACATTTTAAGTGCTTCCCATCGTTTATATTAAAACTTATTTTTATTATACTATAACATAATGTTATATTAAATACAATTATGTCATTTTTTAAATTAAAACGCATTGATAGACCATACACGCTAAATTTATTTTATAAAAGTTAGAAAATAAACTCATTTTGGTGACAGATTCCAATATATTTCAGCAATTTTCTCGTTGAAAAATAAAATTAAAATGAGTAAAATTAAAAAGGATGAGTTAGATTTTTATAAATATAATTAAACCATGAATTATAAATGCAAAACACCACTGGATAAGATTTATCATCTACAATATTTTTGTATCCATTAGTCAATTTTATTTCTGCAAAAATAATTTTTTTGATCATGTTTCGATATTTAGAGAGTAGAATGGGATAATTTAAAAATTTAATTTAGGTTTAATTAAAATATTTATGAATTATTCAATAGTTAAAAAAGTATGCATGAAAAAGTCTTGTTTTTATATACTATAAATACTAACGTGATTTTATCCAGCAAGTCACCAAAATTGACGGGATGATGTATTATTTTGAAGTTGAAAAATTCCTAACAAAGCAACTACTAATTTCGTTCCAATCAGAGCCAGTTATAATTTTATTTCATCTCATTTTTATTATAAACTATTAAAATAATTCATCAATTTAATAAATTTTCTGTTGCATACGATATTTGAATACTTTCGAAAGATTTTTATCAGTCATTTCCATAAAATTGCTTTCCTACGAACTTCATGAAAGTATTTCTCAATTCATTTAAGGTAACCTAACAAAAAATGGATTCTTTTTTACTAAAACGAAATAGTCAGCAAAAAATAATTAATCCAAATCACTTATCAAATATCTCGAGACAATAATCGTCTTTACTTAATCTTCTGTTTTTAGCTAATCTTAGTTATAATGTAGATTCATTAAAACCCGTGTACCTCTTGCTGGTCTTTCGGGCTTGCGGTTAATTCATCTTAATTCCGGCCACTTTATACGTCATTCTCGATTAAGGCTTTGCATGGAGTCGTGCACTTGCATGACGTTCATAATTGACAGCTTTCCTTCGTTAAAGCTCGTGACCATGTCCTCGTACGTGACCCCAAAGTTCGCACGTCTACGGCACGCGCGTCATCCCAAAGCTTTTCTTCTCTCCAACTAACAGCACAATAATTTAACTAATTCATGTCAACTTTATGAGTTCCTTATCAGCATACAATTTGCTTCGATGGAAATTTATTTTAGCTATTCTAATTCTTTTGAACATTGAAGTTTTTTATCAAGAAAAAATTACTCTTTTAAGTAATAAAATAATATCATCTTTATACATAGTTTTAATGAATTTTTCTCATTAAAAATATCTTAAAAATTTTTGTGTAATTTCAAAGTACTGAACAATATTATTCGTTCTGGAGAATAAATAATATAGGAAAATTGGAGAATTAAAGAGAAATAAATATGTTGATGAGCAAAAAACAAATCCCAAGAGGAAATAATCGTTGAAACATCTACAGAATAAGGACTTTCGTTTCCTACTCACGCTCGTTAACCCACAGATAACGACTACAATTCTATCTCACCCCCGGGAATATTTATCCTGAGAAAAACAACTATGGGGCACATTAAAAAAGACTAACAACATGGTATTATTCGACAGACGAGAAAAGTTTTTTAGTAAAACCGGAAAAGTAAAAAAAGAAATAGTAGAAATGAAAAATTAAACAAAAATCGCACTTTAGTTTTATTTGGATTCTAATAAGGATAAAGATTCTACTTGTAAAAATATACAAAGCAAAAAAAATTAAATTTCATCCAAAAGTGCCTTTGAACATGCACATTTTTTAAGATATACACAATGTAGTCAGAGCACTCAGTGACTTTAAATGCAATCGTCGGTGCTCTATAAAAGGCTCATGCCCAACTCTCTCTTCTCTTTGGTGGCGTAAGTAAGAATAAGAAGCACCGCACGTGTACACAGTCAACCGGTATACCAAAAAGGCTTGTACAATAGCTTCAGCAAAAGGCGAATGTGCACAAGAAAGACCAAGATTGTACAGATGACCAAATATAGTTTAAACCCTCATGTTATATTTCTTTTCTATTCATTCTATTTTTTATTCATTCAGCTTTCAACTCTTTTTCAGCTAATAAAAATATTCGAAATTGGAATTATAATAAATAATAATGAAACTAGGTTCGTGTTTGTACTTCTTTACAATGCTTTCATACTCTGTTAATTAGGTACCTCTTGATTTAACCGAAAAGAAAATAGTTTTAAAAAAGAAAATTCTGAAAACTTATCGAAATGAAATTGTTTTTATTTAGTTTGTTATTTAATTAATTAACTTCAAATGATAGATCTTATAAGTTACCAAATCTCACTGAAAGATCATTTATCAAAACTTCATCAATGATATCTAGAAAACTCTTTCAACGATTTAATAAAATTTCTTCAAGCTGGATATCTAATTTTTCGGATAAAACGTATTGAACCATTATCAAGTTAATCAAAAGCAAAAGATATCCGTTTTATATCAAAGTCAATATTTACTTATTAATCAAAGAAGTAGGATAAATCAATACTGAATAGTGAATATACAACTCTAAAAATAAATTGACATTGTTGTGATGAGAAATCTAAAAAAAAAAAATTTAACACTATGTTGATCAAACCTATTTACTTCGCGTACCAATAAATTTTACTTCAAAATAAATAAATATTTTTTTCCCAATTTTTGAACCGTTCGAACATACATTTTGATTCTTAATAATTGCTAATAGGAATAAACTAATTTTCAACGAATTAATATTAGAGAAGTAAATGGAGATGAAATTGAAATAGGCAGTAATGGACGTCAATATAGATATATCCAGAGCTAAATACAAATTAATCACATCATCGGAAATGACGCGGCTGATTTTGATGCGTTCAAAACTGTCGATTAATGTATCCTCTTGTGTCTCTGTCCCATATTTAGCTTCTCTTTTTCTCTCTTTCATGTTCAGGCACTCGACATCAACCTTTCTTTTCTTCTTGGTCCCTTGAAACTCAACGCCATTCGCCGAACTATGAATTAACTGACATGAGAGGAGTGAGGTTCATGTGAATGCTCGCCGCAAATTTGTGAAACCGGAAGCTCGAGGACACCGCGTGACGCGCCGTCTAAATTCAACCGCTAAATTCTAGGAACATTGGGATGCTGAGTATGACGAGACAGAGAAGAATGACAAGCAGAGATAGAATAGAAAAAAATGCAAAATTATTTTGGAGAGGATCCAATTGCAAAACAAAGAAAATGAAAGGATTCGAGTCATTTGAGTTATCATAAATTTTCCATAAATAATAACCTTTTTTCATATGCAATTCTAGATAAAATATATTAGTGAATAATGAAATAATGGTATATAAACAACTTTGCTCATAAATTTCTCTATTGAAAAAGTGATAAAACAGAAAAGAGACACAAATGATAACAAATGCAAAACTAAATCTAAAATAAAATTGAAAATAAAGACACAACAGCTGGCTTTTCTATTAGTGATGAGAGATCTCAGTTTCCTTGTTTACTTCCGTGAGTGTACGAAGATGATGACTAAGTCGACAAGGCCGAGCGCAGGAAACGAGTTCATGGAGATCAAGTGGTTGGTCGATCAGCTACTTGCCTCGCAACGAATTAAGTCTATATATCAGGAGTCTTAGTGGCGCCTACCAGTCGAGAGAATGAAATGAACGGTGTACATTTAAAAGAACCCCAACTGCACTATTTTATATTCATACATGAATTTATTTCTTAGTCTTTTCTTCATTTCACCGCAGAATTATTCTACTCGTCGAACAAATACTCTGGACAATTTTCAACTGTGGCTTTTTGTATCGATTATTGTTTTCTCCGGAGAATTCCCGAGACGTGAATGGACTAAATTCTCAACTGAAAGTTGATTTATATACCGTGACCAACACTATTCTTTCAATATTGGTTAAATAAAACATTCGATAAATATAAACTGCCAATTCATATTCGATGGAGTCCATTGTAAAATTTACAAAACAAGAGTAAGAAATTATATCATTTTTCAGGATAAATTGACTGAAAAAAAATTAATGGCGATAAAATATCGAAAGACA